TGTATGTGATAGTATGGTGAGAATTATTGGTTGTTTAAATGTTGAATGATGTGTAAAATTCCAGCCATGAGAAGTAGTTCATGTGTATGTGGTGATTTGGTGGAATTATGGATGAAATATGGAAGAATTGTTGATGAAATTTTGAATTGTTGAATCCGGCCAAATTTGAAGTTAAATTTAGTGAGTTTTTGCTCCAATTTTGGTGGACTTGGAGAGATATGGAAGTGTGGCCAACTAAGCATTTGCATGTGCATGTAAATTGTTTGATGAAAATTCAAAGAGAAATGTATGCATGAGTTTTTTAAATCTTATTGAAGAAATTGTTAGAGAAAGGAAAGAATTGGAGTTGAAAGGTTATGTTAGGCTTAACCAAGTGTAAATTTTAGTATTCAAGAGTGCATTTTGTTATGCCAAAATTTAGAATATCACTTGGTCATGTTAGTTCAATGAGATAAATGGCTTTTAGTGCATGGTTCAAGTTACTTGAACCTTGAGTATTTCTTCAATAGCACATTTTATTTAGTTATTGAATTAGAAATTGTGAAACTTATGACTTTGGGAAAGTGTTAGAAGGGATTTACATGTTAAATTGTTACTTTGATATGGCATTGTTGATAGTAGAGAATGATAGATTATGTCATGACATATCGATATGCCATAATAAATTCTCAAGTTTGTGTACTTGAATTTAGAAAGATCATCTAAATAATGGCTTGGCCAAATGAGTATATTGTTGTTTCTTATTTTGAGATTAATTACAAACAATATATAATAAGTGATTTTATTGTATAAAGAATAGAAAAGCTTTCCCAAGTATAAATATCAAAGAAACATCAAAGAAATAGAAGTTTGGTTTACGTATTAAATACATGACCATTTTAGAAATTGATTGGTATGAGTATAGTTTTCATGCCTTATTATATATTACAAGCTATAGAATTGTCCTAGAAGATATTGAGAATATTTTGTATCGGCCAAAAGTTTAGTTAAGAATGTTAGAAAGAAATTAGAATTTAGCTAAAATATATATCTTGTGCCATATGTTAGATTGAATTTACAATATTAATATGGCAATATAGATTAATGTATAGAATGTAGCCAAAAGAAAGGAAGAAAGAAGGGCATGTATAACAATTGAAGTTGATGATCATGTAAGAGAATGCAAAATTTATGGCATTAAGATTTGTATTTAGAAAGTTGTACAAGACATGTTTGTTACATTAGAAAAATATCAGAGAGTTGTTTAATGAAATGGTTTTGTGACATATAAGTTTGAGAAAATCTAGTAGCATAACTAGGCAAGTTAGTAGACTTAATACTTAAGTTGTGGCATAGCTTTTTATAGAAGAAATTAGATTGTCCAAAATGTAGAATTCATTCCCTAGTTGAATTGTGCTGTTTTAATATCTCACTGATAGAATTATAGAAGAGTAGAATTTGTGAGAGATAATGTACTTTTGTACGTGTACATTTTACATAGCATGATAGAATTGAAGAAATACATAATTTATATAGAAATTATAGCATCGCGTACGTACACCGATGCATAGAATTCCAAAATAATTAATAAAATAGAAAATGTTTAAGTTAAGCGTGTTATTAGAATAGAACTTTGGCTTTCTAGAAAAGTATAGAAATAAAAGCCTTAGAATTAATAGAATACATGCAAGAGTCAGACACATATTTTGGGATCATGCATAGACAACATATAAATGCATGACATAGCATAGCATCTATTTCAGAAATTTTATAATTATTGAAAATGTCTAGCTAGTTATTTTGCAAATTTACAAAGCATGTTTTCAGAGGGTTGTTGCGATAGGGAACCTATGAGCATTCGCTGTGTTAGCTAGTGGCAACAGAGATGCAGAAGTTTCCCACATGCACATAGCCATCAGTGAGTGACCTTAGAATAGAAAACATAATTGTACTGTCTGTCAGAAGTGCATGTGGATGAGGACTGTACCCAGAAAGAATTTCAAAATATGCTCACACGGCCAAGGTTCCAAATCCATCCTTAGCCTAGTCCGATTGGCAAATCAGAACATAATGCAGAAAGAATTTCAGAAAAAGAAAGAAAAATAGAATAAGAAACAGAAAACAAAAAGAATTTCAGAAAGAAAGAAAAATAGAATAAGAAATAGAAAACATAAAGAATTTCAGAAAAAAAAAAAGGAAAATAATTTTTGAAAGAATTAGAAAAGACTTTTCAGAAAGAATACAAACATGATAATTTGCATATGCATCAGACATTTTATGTGCATTGCATCTCATGCATTTATGTATAGATTAAACAGTTTATTTTATTATTGCGTGTCTGACTAGCCAAGAAAAGAAAATAGAAGCCCACGAAAATAGAGAAGAAAAGAAAATAAAAACCCATGAGAATAGAGAAGAAAAGAAAATAGAAGCCTACAAGAATAGAAAAGAAATTAGAGATATACAAGAAAAGAACAAAAATTAGATACATACTAGAAAAGAACAGAAATTAGAAACATGATAAATAGCAAACAAACTTAGCGATTTGTTGAGTAGAGAAAGAAACAGAAAGTTATAATGTAGCAGAGAAGAGAAATAAAATGATAAAGAATAGCACATCACTAGAAGGATTTAGAAAAATTTGAGAAAAATAGAGGACTGCTAAGCAGTATGCCAGAGAATAAAGAGCAAGCAGAAATTTAGAAGCAGTACAGCAAAAACGGGGACAACAAAGTAAGAGCATAGTTAGATTTAGTTTACTTACTGAGCATTTATAGCTCAACCCATTGCTTTCCTTATTTTTGCATGTATTAGATTGTAGTGGTCGGAAGACGTCAGGCTGGCGAAAGGATTGCACACACTATCTCAGGGAAGAAATTTAATGTGGATTTATATATGTGAGAAATAATCTTTGTGTAACAGTATGTTATAACTGGATTAAGGATAAAAATTTTAGATGAACACCTTTTTAAAACTAGCAATTCTTTAGATTCTCTGTATAGGATACTCAGTGAATACTTGCCTAGTGAGACATTACATTTTTGGTAACATAGCAAGATTTTGGAGACTTTAAGATGTTTTCTGAAAGAAAGTTAGATCAAAATCTGGTTAAGAAAAGTGACAGTGTGCCTCCCAAGCCACAATGACATGGTTCGTAAGCTGACCGCTGTAAGTAATTTTCTTTTTACTTGTATGGGTTGATTGTTATTGATGATTAATAGTAGTTGTGTTTTTTATATGATAGTAAGAATCAGTAGAGAATGTGACGCCAGGGTTGTATACACGGGTTTAGACGAAGCAGGGTTGCAGTCTCATATATTTAGTAGCGAGAGAGTAAGCCTCTAAGTTAGCAAGATCAGTTTTGAATCCAATGACTGCAAACTCATTGGGAAGTTAACCCTAGAAAGAAAAACTTGAAGGTAAGTGGGCACAAGGCCTGCATAGTGGTTCAGAGAGAATGGTAGCCTGTTAGAGATGTGGTATAGTAAGAGACTCTCGCTTGAGAATGGTACTATGCTAGCCACTAAGATTAGTTACAAATCCATGGAGTTCTAGAGAGCCATGGTTAGTTAAACGATCCGAATAGAGTTGTTAAACGGGGAGAGGTAAGTATGAATCTAGTTCTATTAAGTATCCCCGATTAAGAGGATTATTTTGAGTATAAATCTCCTAGGGAGACGTAAAGTAGAGAATGAGTACCATTAGAGAAAAGTGAGATTCAATTTAGATGATTGTGATAAGTTCAGTTTTAGAGAGGGCTGTCAGTTATTGTGATGATCAGTAATATAAGGGCTAGGAAGCAATTGAAGAAAAAGATGTATGGAGTATTTTTGCCTAGATGGTGCATAGCGAGGTGGTTCCCAATCTAGAGATCAAAGATGTGTTAGTAGTCTGGGAGTTTTCAAATATGTTCCCGGATAAGTTGTCGAGTTTGATTCCCAGAGAGAGATGGAGTTTAGCAATAAATTGGCACCTGGGATAGCATCAATTCCTAAGGCTCCGTATTGAGTGACCCTAGTAGAACTCTAGAAATTAAAGGAGTATTTCTAATAATCTTCTAAGCAAGGGTTTCCTCTAACCCAACTAGTCTCCCTAGGGTGCACCAATCTTATTTAGTGGAAATAAATAAACAATAATGGATCACTCCAGATGTATATAGACCCCTCAAAAGTAGAATAAGATGATAAGGAAAGAATCAATTTTTCGTGGCTTCATATTGATAAATACAAGTGGTTCTAAGAATTTAGAAGAATAATTAGTTGAAAAGTGATGACACAGGATAATAAGTTGGCAAGTGCAGAAGAGATATAATACTCTATGAGTGACCATCGAAGGAGATAAGCATGGTTAGCTCGAATATATGCCAGAAGGATAGTCAAGATATCCGATATACCCAAGGAAATAGTACGTTGAGCCCAAAAAGATAAAAGAGTTATGCAAACTTAAAAGAAGAAATGTGGAATTCCAAGTGGGTAACAGAGTTTTTGTTAAGAATTGCCCCCATAAATATGCCTTCAGCCTAAGTGAGACATCGCAAAGAATGGAAAAGGGAACCTTTAGATTTATTGTATCATTAAGTATAGATATGATACTTGATCTATCCCATGTCGTGTAGCTTGGCAAGTTAGTGAGTGATCATTCGTATGTATCGAGGACAATGAAGTGGACATTAAAAGAGAATCTAGTGTGTACAAAACAACCGGTGAGTACCGTTAGAGACCTTGGCGAGTTAGTGAGTGATCTCTCATTGCATTCACTGTCTCAGTCACCTTGGCGATATCCCTCTGAACCACTGCCATCTCCTTCTCAACGTTGTCAACTCTATTCTCCATCGTAGTATCAACCATAACCTAGAAAATCAACGAGCTCTGATACCAGTTTGATGAGAACCCACGGCTTCAACTCTAACACTACGCCAATCTCCAATAAATCACCACAACACAACACAATAATCTTCACCCATAGACCACAAACAATAACAACAATGCAACCAGTAAACAACAATACAGAATAATGCAATATAATAAAACTGAGATTAATAAGAAAATATGGATGATAGCATTCATTTGGATAAAACAGTAACACCAACTGGTCTTCAAGGGCCAGCACATCCCAGACACAATTCACACACAAAATCAAAAGATATCCCTTACCCTACTTTTCTCTCTTTTATTCTGACACTAGGATTCTAACAACTACCAAGCCACCTGTCCCCACATGATTTACCCCTTTTTCCCATTTCCTGTCTTATGCATATACCACTTGGAGATACTAGGTCCATCGGATTGTCTCATGTATACTCCTAAATAAGATTGCGAACGTCAAGGAGTCATGTTTTTCATTGGGGGATGCTACTGAGAAAGAAAAGGAACTTCGACCACTGTCCCAACAATGTTCTCTCCCACAATGACAGTGTCTCCTAAAGCAACTTGCTTCTTAATGTAGCCTAAACCAAAATGATCAGACTCTTTTCTTCCGGATGTATAGCTTGTCAGTTTCCCCACCTGCACATAACTCATGTCATATGTTATTAACAAGGAGATTGTGAAAAATCTACAAAATGGAGAAGTAGCTAAAATGTGACCATTCCAGCGAAATATTTCACAAATTTGTATACAATTTTCTCTACTTTGAAAGGTAGATGACAAGGAAATGAATTCTACCTTTTTCCCATCAACCGTTATTGCGCTGCCAGGCTCTACGAGCGCTGAGAGGCGAATTCCCCATAATCTCTGCTTAACTCCATCATATGTTATGAGCCTAGAAATGGTCTCTTGTCCCTTATAACATCCTGAGATTGTTTAGAGTCAGGTCAACCTTCTTTTGTATCTTGCTAAATGTATGTTCAGTAAAAAATGATACCTTTGTTTAGAGATATTGAGTTCCAGAGACCAGCCTCCAGAACATTGAATTCATTAGTAAGCTCCTTTCCAGGTGCTGGCCTCCCTGCGAAAAAGCAAGAAAATTGTCACCACAATGCCTTTCTTAAAATGAAAATTAAATGTTGTTTGGTTGAGAACAGAGAGAAATTTTCGAACGTAAACATCCATCAAAACTGAAAAGCAACTTGCTTCCAAGCTTTTTGTACCATTTAAGTTTCCCCATGATTTAGGCAACAACTAAAATGATGAAGAAGCTAAATCTTTTATCATCATATTATTGTCCAAGCAATCAGCAAAGACTTTAAATGCATTACTCAAAGATAAGTAACAGTACCGAATGATTAACTTGAACCCTTGTAATTAGGGAATAAAAATAGTTTGTTTGTTTCTTGTTTTTTTTTTTTCTTTTTTTTTTTTTTTTCTATGGTTTAAAAACTTGAATGATTCCGTTAATTCATTTGCACTTGAACTTTTTGAGCTAGATTGAGCAAAAATTTCTATTTAACAGAGTGTTTGAGGCTGAAATTTTATTCTCTTGAACAAGAACATGAAAGAGAGGATGTTGTATAGTTTTGAATTGCAATGAGACCTTGTAAAAACAGCCAATATTTATTCTCTTCCATTTAATCCTGCTGGTTGTTTTGCTTCACGTAAAGTAACAGTAAAGCTAAAAATTCACTGGAAAGCTAAAATAACGGTAGGCAATAACAAAGAGATTTAAAGTTCAACTGCATCTATTAACCAATTATTTCAAATAAGATGTGAAACTCCATAACTTTCAAACATCAAATGCGAGGAAGATTTGGAAATGTTTGAAGTAAAACAAATCTGCAAAAAAAAAAAAAAAAATGCAAGTCAAACGAAGAAGTGAAGAATTAATCACCTTGAATAACCCTTAGTCTTTCCCAGGCATTAGAACCCATCGGAATAGCACCTAGAGATAAAAGAGACCGCCAAATTGATCCAGCAATGGCCGGTGACATCAACAGAGAAAATCCTTCTGCAGAAATGACATTTCCCACAGCAACAGTTATTGGCGTGCCATTGACCTGAAATGGGAAAAAAAGTTCTTTTCATATTTCATTGCATTAAAAAATGCATTGTACTTATGTTATTGTTCCAAAATTACAAAACTAAATGTACTATTCAAATTTCATCTTATTGACAATTTGAGGATTTTCTGCGTTCAACATTAGATTTTAGATTGTAAATTGCTTTATATTGAGGAATATTCATTCTTTTATGTGGCTCTAGATTTTGGAGAGTTATGATTTATATTTTACGCATGACTTCCATGATTGATTATTATTCTAGTTTAAAAGGCATCTTGCAGTTAAAAATCTAGAAGGCCATTCACTCTTACACTATAATGTCGATGTGTGCCATATGCCTGTCCAACAAGATCACTGAGGTTCAAACTGCTCATTACCTGTTTGCACACCACAACTAGGTCAATGTCATCATCAAGAAATCTCTATCTCAAAGACAAATCCAGGAAAGAAAAATAATCATTTATCAAAAATATACTTACTGTGTTGCTTTTAGGTCCCAATAGAATGCATAAGGAAGTTTGCTTGGTGATGTCTTGAATTTCCACCTTGTCAGCAAAAAATATGAACCTAAAACACCAGGAAGAAACAGAAAATTTTACAAGAAGAAAAGTTTTAACTTAATATTTTTAAGTTAGTGCTAATCAAGCTGGCATACTATGTAAAAACAAGAAGAGAGGCAATTTATTAGGTAATTTTCTTCAACTTTGTGTTCTTTTGATAAAGAACAAAGGCAAGGCTGGCAGACTAAGGATATCTGCCAGCATAGAAAATTAATTAGTAAATCTGGAAGAAATAGAACACATACTTATTGAGCATTTCACTCATGCTTCCACAGGTCAGTGGCGAGACCACCAACATGATAGAATTTTTCTGTGAATGCCATAGAAATCCTAATGAGTTGACAAAACTATATTGAATTATTAAACAGCAGAAAAAGAAAGTTTTATAGGAGAAACGTGATGAAAGAGATTACCATGAACCAAGCGTGAGCAATATCTATTGTCCGAGCAGTTGGGGTAATAAAAACAGTGTCACATCCCTACGGATTTCAATCGAATAAATCCCATCAATTAACCCCATATGACTGCATCAAAAAATAAATATACAAAATGATGTTTGTGTTTGTTTTTTTTAACAGAATCAAACAGAAGGACATGTAATCAAACTTACTTGTCCTTCTTGAAGATTTTCAAAATTTGCAGTGCTTTGATTGTGAAGAAACTGAATACGATCATCTCCACTAACTTCAAGACAATTGAACCCATATTTGACAATGTAAACAAACATTAGAGCAGCAATCATAGAAAACCTTAAATATTTGCAAACCTCATTTAAATAAATTGGACTCTCAATAACCAAAGAATAAACACACCAGAAATAACAATTAACTGTAAAAGTCTATACATTAATATAAAAAGTAAAAAATATAGGAACACCTAAAATATATAAAACAAAAAAGTAAAAAATAGAGGAACAGCTATTTAAGTAATAGAGACGAAGACCTTGGCTGCTGTAAGCCAATATCACCTAATTTGTCTGCTAATCATACAGACTACTGTGTTTACAGCAGCAAACACCTGTTTATACTACTGAAAAGTGAAACATGATGCAATGCAAATCCAAGCTTCAAACCATTAAATTAAAACTTTTCATTCAAGACTTAAAGACAATTAAAATACTATTTCTTTAAGAGAGAGAGAGAGAGAGAGAGTTATCATTTTGAAGACTAGTCAAAATATATACTACTGTCATAGGCCAAAACTTTATGGCACAATTATAAAACAAAAATGAAAATAACATGCTCATTTGTTTTGGAAAGAAAACTTTCAACGATAGTGAACTAAATGCTCCACCCGTCAAGAAATTTCTGAAAGTGTTCGCAAGAACAAAGACTATGATACATGTATGGCTAAAGTACCAGAGAAGAAAGTACCTCTTATCCTTCCAAAATGTGAAAGATCCACCACCTAGATCATTATTCAAAGATGAATCAATAATGGCAATGATTATCTACTCGTTACAGAATTTTTAAAAAAATAAACACCATAAATTCTGACAAGCCCAAAAACAAAATAATAACAAAGTTTAGACAAATTGAACATGAACAACAGAGATAATATCAATTAGAGGCATGACATCAACTCAATATCTGAAGTTAACACGGAATTGTTCATTTCACCATCATAGGGACATTATTCTTACCAATTTGTCTGCAAACCTCCTGGCTTGTCATCTAGCTTACATAACCAAAACCAAAAGCATCTCTCAGGAAAATACAACTCAGCCTAAAATCTGATATCAATTTGTCCCTATGCATAATCATTTTCCTACTTACCATCTCTTGCATTCAATTCACATTTATACAAAAAATTACATAGTACTCAGCATATCACTTGAGTAACAAAAATGTAAATGCACATAAAAAAAAATAAAAAAACCTCAAAATGACGTCAACGCAGAGAGGAACTAAAATATCAATATTTGAACCAAAAACTGACTTCAACTTTCAAGTTCACGAAGTCCAAAAGACATGCTTTCAACCTTAGTTACATACCCAAAAATTTTCCTTTCTAGCAATTAAATTCAAAAACACAAAATTAAAATTAAAATTAAATAAAATAAAATATATAAAACTTGAGCTAATACACTTGAACGTGCTTCAAATGTAATAAATTCAACATGTTCAAAGTAAAACATAAACATTCTCAATAAACACTCACTGCAACGCCATTTTCAACTGCATCCAGAGCTTCATCATCATTGCCAAATGTTTCAACAATCCCATTTTCCGAAACCTCTGCCCCTGCAATCTTCATTGTGTCCTGCAAAGAATCCAGTTGGCAACTCTCTTGTTTTCATGTTTTTGTTTAATAATAATTAAAAAAAAAAAAAAAGTGTTTTCAGTGAATCTTACTAGGAGGTCGTGATCAATTGGTGGAGGCGAGAGATCGAAAGGCAATGCCGCAATTGGCTGAAAACTTGTGCTTTTTAATGAGAGCGTAGTAGTGTTCTTGGTCTTGATCTTGATCTTGCTCTCCTGATGATGAGTGAAACCGGTGCCGTTTAGGAAATTGCGAGATGATAGGGCGTGGAGATGAGTTGAGAAAGGTCTCGCTGGTGCTGTTGTTGCCATTGCCGGATTTTTGGGATGGCGGAATATACTGAGGAAGTGGATATTGAGGAAGAAACCTTTTATTAGGACGGACTTTTAGTTAGAGTTAAAGCTATCATAAACCCCCTGAGGTATGAAATAATAAAAACATCTCCGTGAGGTTTTTGAAATAACAAACATTCTCCCACCGTTAATAAATCAATAGTGAGCTAAACTTTACAATATTATGGGGGCGTTTGGTTCAGGAATGTTAGATTATTAGGAATATTGGATTACTTGGAAGATAGATTACCTTGGAAGATTACTGAGAATCTTTAGGAAAATATGTTTGGTTAGTTGATGGGTATGTTATATTAATATGTTTGGTTATGGAGAATAAATTGGTGGGTATATTATTTAAATTACTAAATTGTCCTTTTTTAAAATATTAATATAATATAATTTTTATTATTAATTTTTGAATAATTTTTTTAACCTCCAATATTTCAGATTTAGCTAAAACACCCCCGTTTATATAAAACTTTAATTTATGACGAAATCACCCCCCCTCTTGCCGCCGCCTGTCGCCACCTCAAACCACCACCGGAAGTCTCCGAAAGTCCCCGTGAGTAGCTCACAGTGACTAAGAGGCTTCGAGATGGCCGTTTCTAGCCATATTGTTGGCCGAAAACGGCCATATCAGGCTAGATCTGGCCGGAAATGGCCAGATTAGATCTGGCTGTTAGCTGCTAGATCTGGACGAGATCTGGCCGTTAGCGGCCAGATCTATTCCGGCCAGAATAGATATGGCCATTAACGGCCATGTCCGTGGTCGTTAATGGCCAGATCTTGACCAGATTTGACCGTTAACGGCCAGTTCCAACGATCTGGCAATTTCCGGCCAGAACTGGCTTGATATGGCCTTTTTCGACCATTAATATGGTTGGAAACGGCCACACTGAAGCCTCCCGGAGCCTCCCACCGAATCTGGTTCTTTTTTAGGGACTCCAGCGACTTTCTGGCGGTGGTCCATGGTGGTTGGCCCACTGTCGACAGTGGTGGCTGGGTGGCATTGGTGGTCTGTAAATTGTTTTAAATATAAGGGCATTATTGTCCAAAATTTTAATTAAACAAGGGTAAAATTGAAATAAGATATTAATGTAAATTTCTTTTAAAATAGGGGCATTATTGTCCAAATTTTTTATTAATAAGAGATAAAATTGTAACAAAAAAAGATAACCCTGATAATCTTAAAAAACCTAAGAAAATGGAAGTAATCAGATTACCTCTAATATTACCAATAGTAATCACTATTGGTATTTGAAGATTACCGGTATCTTATATTACTTGACAACCAAACATGGTAATCAAGTAATATAAGATTACTTACCCTCAGTAATGACAGATACACCCGAACCAAACACCCCCTATAAGTAAGTGAAGATAACCAAATTACCACAGATTATTTTTAACATTTAAAACTTAGTAGTACTAGAAATTCTATTATTTTCAAAACTTCAAAGGGATTTTATTATTTCATCATACATCAGGGAATTAGTGTATTAACTCTTTTATTTATCACAAATATGAAAAGAAAGAAAAAAAAAAAATTATGATTATTGTCACGTTTTAGTTTACGGTATTGACTCCAAAAATTAAGTATTGTATTTGTATATGATGCTTTCGTTTTCAAAAATACCAATAAAAAGTTTTAATGTGAATGTATCTTTTTATGATAACTAAAATTTATATCTATACATCTATATAATTCTAAAACACTTACTATTTGAATGTCACATATGACTCTATAATTGTTGCATGTGTCAGCATGTTATTAATTTAGATTATAATTGTTGCATATGTTAGCATGTTATTGGTCTAGGCTATTTGGTATAACTACATGCATTCAAGATTTTTTAGAAACACTTGACATTCACATTAAATGTTTTGATGGTTATACGTTTGTTTAATGTTTAATTGGATAAATATAAACACTTCACATTTATATTTATTGTTTTATGTTTCATTATTTTTTATGAATTTAGTTTGATTCGTTGATTTTGTCTAATTGAATGTGAAAAGGCGCATTTATGTTATTTGTGAAAGAGTATAGATGCATGAATAAATGTCAATATTAATGGATTGATGTGGTGTATTATTGATTTTCATGAATATGAAAAGATACACTATATCAGTTACAATATTCATTATATATATATATATATATATTACATGATTTCTCTTAAGAAAGAGAGGTAGTCAATTTTTAATTTTTATTTGCGATTGTTTTCTTTTGGTTTTTCCAGTTTATTGTTAAATTTTATATTTTGATTTCATATAGTTATATACTTTTGGTTGGGACATAATATTTGTTGTCATAGTTGGAAATTACGTGCTATTAAAGGTAATGTATTATTCGCTATTGTATTGTAATATTCCTATTCAATTGCTTATCATGTTTGCTATATAGTTTTTTTTTTTTTTTTTTTTTTTTTTTTTTTTGCAAGGGTATGTAAGGGTGGTGTTTAGTTTATTATTTTGGATATGACTTTTTGGGATGAGTATTGGATAGTTGGATAGGGTTATGATTACGAGAATATGATTTGTTGAATATGTGTTTAGTAGAGTATTTTGACCTAGATATTTGTGTTGAATATTTGATTAATATATTTTTTTATAAATGATTTATTAATATAATATTTTGTTGTATTTTGTTAAAATAATGTATTATTATATATATAACTTATCAAGTTACATTTTAATAATACTAAATATTTTATTGATAATTTTGTCACCCGTAGATATTAAAAAACAAAAACCCATATTATGAAACACAAATGCAGTGAAGAAAACTGAGAAAATGAAATACAAATGCAATGAAGAAAACTGAGAAAATGAAAAACAAATGAGAGAGAATAAAAGTTGCAAACTGTAACGGTCAGTGAAGAAAAACTGAGAAAATTAAAACTACAAACTGTAACGGTCAAAAGCTGTGGGGATCAAATTTTCAAAGTTCTATTGTCTGAATAATAAGCCAAACACTATTGGGAAAATCCGTTTGAGAATACAAATAAAAATTATAAGCCAAACAGGCCCTAAGTTATTGTATGGTTTTAACTATTTCATTGTTTTAGTCCAGATGGTGAATTGTACATCCTCCTATAGAATTGTCAGACCAATTTGTTGAACCAGAAATTTTGTTATTCAATTATAACAAGTTATAAGAAGACATAGGTAGACCATTCCAAACAATTTATTTGTCAATTGCTATACTGAAAAAATCTATGCGGCGAACAATTATGATCAATGGTTTTGTTGCTATTTGCTGATGCCTGTGCCAAACCATTTTTATCATAATGTTGTTGACAATTGTACTCTATAATTGTAGTTGATTGCCGAACCATTCTGTTTAATCATAAAAGTTGAGATGCAAAGCTATTTAGATTATACAGTACAATTACAATAGACCATTTGTCAAACATTATTCATTAACAATTGTAATATTATAGTGTCCTTTTTAGTTAATACTATATGAAAAGTTTATTTCATGCTATTCATCATAATTGTTGCAAGCAAGTTGCCTACCAAAATACAATCAATAAACATATCAAATGAAGATTGTACTATAGAATTACAAGAGACTAGATGCCGAACCATTATTTATTATACTATATAATTGTAACAGTCAGTAGTAAATTGCTCATAACTTGCTCAATGAAAATTCAATTGACAAGCAGTTTGAATCTTTAGAAACTAGACAAACAGGGCTTTAATTTGATAAATTATACGCTGAATTTGGATAATTATAGATCCACTATCGAACCATTCATTTTATCATCACACATATTTTGTTTTCCCCTATTTCTCGGTTTCCACTGAACAGTCAGTAGTAAATTAACCCTAACTTACTCAACGCAAATCCAATTGATGAGCGGTTTGAATCTCTAGAACCTAGACAAACAAAGCTTTAATTTAATATATTAAAAGCTGAATTTGGATAACTGTAGACTAACTACCGAACCATTATTTTATCATCACACATATTTTAGTTTTCCTGTTTTTCGGTTTTTACTAAATAGTTAGTAGTAAATTAGTCATAACTTGCTCAATAAAAATCCAATTGACGAGCGGTTTGAATATTTGGAAACTGAATAGATAGTGCTTTAATTTGTTATATTATATACTAAATTTCAATAACTGTAGACCCACTACCAAATCATTCATTTTATCATCACACACATTTCAGTTTCTCCTATTTCTTAGTTTCCACTTAATAGTCAATAGTAAATTAGTCATAACTTGCTCAAGAAAAATCCAATTGACAAACGGTTTGAATATTTGGAAACTAGACAGACAGGCCTTTAATTTGATATATTATACACTGGATTTAGATAACTGTAGACGCACAGCCAAACCATTCATTTTATCATCACATACATTTCAGTTTCCCCTGTTTCTTGGTTTTCACATAATAATCAGTAGTAAATTGACCATAATTTGCTCAATAAAAATTTGGAAACTATTTATTTTATTATCACACATATTTTGATTTCCCTCGTTTCTCGATTTCCACTGAACAGTTAATAGTAAATTGGTCGTAACTTACTCAATAAAATTCCAATTAACAAACGGTTTGAATATTTAAAAACTAGATAGATAGGGATTTAATTTGATATATTATACACTGGATTTAGATAACTGTAGATGCACAGCCAAACCATTCATTTTATTATAACACACATTTCGGTTTCCCCTGTTTCTTGGTTTTCACATAATAGTCAGTAGTAAATTGACCATAACTTGCTCAATAAAAATCTAATTGATAAACGACTTGAATATTTGGAAATTAAACAGACAAAGCTTTAATTGGATATATTATACGCTAAATTTGGATAACTATAGACCCACAATTGAACCATTCATTTATCATCACACACATTTCAGTTTCCCCCATTTCTTAGTTTTCACTAAACAGTCAGTAGTAAATTGACTATAACTTGCTCAATAAAAATTCAATTGACGAGCGGTTTGAATATTTGGAAACCAGATAGACAGTTCTTTAATTTGATATATTATAT